TGTGAGGAGATTAAGCGACAAAATATGCCCCAGTCGACTTATCTGGAACCTTTTCAAATATATACATGACAACTAAACCTATGTAGACAGCATTTTGTGACTGTCATAGCGGACAACTTGCACAACGTTTCGACTCATGCTTGTATTTGTACATCCGGGTTTCAGACTAATTCCAGCGCTCTCTGCTCAAACAGCTTACCACCTAATTCTTTCGAGCTAACTTGGCTGATTGCTGTAATTCATCAGATCTGACGCTTTAGACGATACGGTTTGTGTAAGCGTGGCTCTAATGTATGAACTCAATTAAGACCCGATTTTAGAAGTAGTGTCTAATTCGCCAAAAGAAGCACAAGTGATGTTTGCTGTCAGCGATTTGAACTAAAACTGTATGAAAATGTTTGTGCAAAAGGGATTTATAATTTGGCAGAGCAATAGACATTGTAGTTGCTCTTGCTCCCCCATTTTATTGATTCACAAAATACTACGTGCTCCGTTGACATTGAAAATGTTCCTAATTCCTAAAAACATAATAATACATAAATAATAATTCGTACTACGTAAATTTCTTAACTGGAAAATTATACAGTCAAATAAAAAGCGTGGTAATGCGAAGCCTTATGAGTACACCCATTGACGACCGCTTTAAAGATCACGAAAAGTTAGCATGAAAAGGCTGGACAAGAGAGATTTGTTGAATATTTTTGCAGTTATTACTGACGACGAAGACTCAGGTACCTACTTCATATTACGATTAGATTGCACACCCAAATTAAGCTGGCAACGGTAAGCTGAACAAGGTGGAAGACAGGTAGACAGTTATATTTTAGACAGAAGTAATTGAAAAATGGGTTTTATCTGTATTTAAGAGTTGTTTACAAGTCACCTAGAAGCGGTAAGTCATGTCAACTTGCAACGCGCAAACAAATGTGCTCATTTGAGACCTGCGGCAGAATCTGCCTATCCAGAAGCGTCAGGGATAATCATGGCTATCCAGTCAGTTTCATCCAAATATTTAGCAACAGATGGCACCTAAAACGACGAGCAAGGCGCATCTTTAAATGATACATGTATGCGTTAGTGCTGAAAATAGGTTAAATTTATACAAGCCACGGTTACAATGCCATTTTTAAAAGACAGACAATGCAGCTCACGTCATATGCAGCTGTCCAGCTAAGATTCCTACGTGTCGAAGAACGATAGGTGCCTCTCCATTCCGCCTTAACCTGAAGTGTTAGTTTAGGAATTAAAACATTTTTCGATGAATGTACATTAGGCGGACAAAAATGCAACTGGAAGTGCTTCCATCTGGATATTTTTCGCGTCAGAAATCCCTTCTTACGCAACAGTTGTATTCTTTAAGGCACACTTTATGTACTTTAAGAAAATGTGGTTTTTTGCATTAGGTTTTTGGCAAATTTAACCTACTATGTACTCCTTATTTGTTATGCTGCCACAAATTCCTTTGTCATGATGAATATTGTTCCCAGTAAATTCGGATGACCAGCCTGTTGTTAACATGGTTTCGTCACTCCCTGTTTCTAATATCTCCCGAACATCCGCCTACTGTGGCCTACTGTAACTCGAAATTCTGGCATTCAGCTCAACACGTGTAGAGTGGATATTTTCCAAATGCCGACGCCTTTTATCACATAAGTACTCCATGAGGCTTTGCACTATGTTGGCCGATGTGTCTATTGACCATCTCAATATTCGTTAAGGGGTGTTGTTAGAAAAGCTGAATGAAAACATTTAACAACAGCATTAACAGACTTGAGGGAGGGTTTGTCACGTCTAAGTTGATCAACACTCTGACATATCCTTTTACTAATTCGACCCTTGTTGGTTTTAGTAGCCAATCCAGGGCATTCAAACGAAAGCAGCAATGGACTTCAACGCCATTACATATTGCAGAAATCAACATATAAAGTGTTTAAGAGGAAAGGATACACTTTATTTTGATACCACCATTCCTTAGGTGTCAGTAAGGATGTCCTTCATTCCTCCAAACAATAAACATGCACCCGACTGAACACTGTAACTGTCGTCATGAAAAGCTTTCCTTGAATGAGTGGCGAAATAAGGGCCACATTAAACTGCCTTCAAAACACCGTAATGTCGTGCGCTAATGAACCCATTGTTCTATTTCGAAGGAACCAAATGAGATAAATATCTCTTGATAATGGCTGCAAGAGTTCAACTGATGCATGCATACAAATATTTACAGGAGAATGGACAGCAGCAAATGACAGCAAAATTTTAAAAAAAATATTTAGAAGCGTTGGTGTTAAAGGTGGTCAAAGCAACTTGCATAATAGATTCGGAATACTAGGTCACCAAGGAAATGACCTTTGACTGAATTCATGGAGCAGCTTTTGAAACGTTTCCAACATACAGAGCCAAACGCATTAGTCTGCGCAAGTACGGGACTGAAGGTTCTTTGACCATTTAGCTTTGATCCTTTGTTCCAGTGCTGTTGCTCTGGTCAACGATCGATTCGCGTAGGCTTTTGAACGCACAGAAAAATGTAATAATATTCCGTCCATCTGTTAAAGTACTTCATTTCGCTAAACCTATACTGAATCAGTCATCGCAATGCCTCAATTTTACAAACAATTTAAAATGGTAGTCAAAATATTACATTTTGACTAAATATAAAATGACCCTGTTTCGGAGTAAAGACGAAATCTTGTCACGTGATATTAAGGCTAATGAGGTTTAACCCCAACGGCTGCGATCTTCTAGGCCCGGTTCCTTTAGGTGATGGGAGAGAAAAGTCTTGGGTAGGCCGAAGTAGTAGTAAAAATATACTATGTACACAAGATTTGCTAGGAAGTTGCCACTAGGTTTGACGTGGCGTTCAACCATGAAAGCCGCGTGAAAGCGTGTCAGTGTCATAAGGCGGCAGCCACCACCGTGAGGTCTTGTGTTAGTCAACTTTATGGTGCTGATTGGCTCGACCTGCCTCGAGTGCTTGTGTGCGCCCCAGGGCAAAGGTCGCGCCTCGCATGCGGAAATAGACCATGGCTCTGGGTCGAACGCGACTGGCCGACCAAAATTGTCACTACGAGACCTCGTCTGTGGCGTCACAATTTAGGAGGCAGTTGGGCAGCAGCGACCACTACAATCTCGCAGGTTCATAAACAATTCTCAGTTGCTGAGATTAGCATGCTCACTTTTTACGGCAGATCACCAAAAGAAAAGTAATATTTTTTGATTTGGGTCATCAAGGAATCATTACATAGGCTTTCAATGTTCTCATTATTGCTGGATCAGTTGATATATCTATATTTCCGGGACAAGTATATTTCCCAATGAGATAGATCGGTTGATCACTTAAGTCACATATATATGGAACTAGGGCGCTCACCGATATACCTGATTAGGAAACATACTTTTAGGTAACCGACTTCAGGCTTATGGTGGAGTGAAACTGACAAAGAAAGAGAGACCGGAATGGCCATTTCTGGCTTATTAGCCGTCATCAGCCAGTCATGCCTCATCCCAGGTGTGGATAGCATGGGATTCGAACCCGGGATCTTTGATCATTGAGTATAACACTCTTCCATTGCACCAAGACCCGTTGCTTTCTCGGTTGCGATAGAGAATAGGATGGAAGTAGGGTGCTCACCGATCTATATAATTAGGCGAAAAAACTGTCCCGTTGCGCCTTGAGGATCGTTCTTCAGTGATCGCAGGCAGTCGCTTAGCGAAATCAAACATATGATAGCTGATCCACAACTGGGATCGCTTACTTAGGGGCTTCGGGTTTGACCTATGGAACGGCGCTTTAAAATCGCTAATTAACCAACATATGTGTTGCTGTTTAGGATTTTAAAAAATGCTGTCGCAAAGTTGTTATGAAAGGGGCAGGTGGTTTCCATCGTGCTATTCTGTGGCAGCTGTCCGTAATGAAAGCCCCTCGTTCGAAACAGAGTTTCTCGCTATAATTTACATCGAAGGTCTCCAAGGCAGTCGCGACAGAGTCGCATCTC